GCTTTTACTATCTTCCCCCAGCCCTGCGGCATTTTTCATAACACCAAGGACTCAACGATTAGTACACAATTGTACCCATTGTCATGTCGCCATAGAATCGGCACAGACAAAGAGACAGTTTAAGGGATTTAATCCCAGTATTCATAACCGACTACTAGTCGTAATTGTAACCGACCACGTGTCGAATTTTCTAAACGACCACGTGTCGTATCTGAACTTTAAGAACATCAGCGGTGGATTATCTACAAGAGGATATCACAAGAAATAAGATCTACAAGAAGCCAAGTGTTCCGGTTTCCCCATCAAGTCCAGCCTTTGGGAGTATCCACGGGTGAGCTGTACTCGTGCGGGGAAGGAACTGGACCCAGTAGACATTTCTCTTATGATGATAACCATTTGGTTTAAAAACAAACACCAAACCACTGTCAATTTTTAGCCAGTCAGCTGTCAGTAAAATTAAAGCGACATCATTCTTCATTCACTACTATTCTCGTCTGTCTTTGTTGCTGTGCGTGAGTAATAGTTGAGTGAGCGAGAAAGGGGCATTCTTCGCTTTCTTTCTCTGGGGGCTCTTTCTTTAAAAGTGGCAGAGGAGTTGCCACCAGGATACCTAGTCGGCCTAGCACCACCCATCGGAGCAGGGTAGACTTATCTTCCTGTCCTCTGTCCCAGGAGCAATATCTCGGTCTCTCTACCCTTGTAGACAATGAAGTACCATACTTCTAGTGAGCCACACTTATAGACTGAAGATACCTCCTGTATAGGAACCCTACCCTTCCTAGGGCCCTCCTATATCAACACTAATACAATCACCACCATGACTACCACTACCATGACTACCACCATCGCCACTACTATTACTACTACTACTACTACTACTACTACTACTACTACTACTACTACTACTACTACTACTACTACTACTACTACTACTACTACTACTAATACCACTAATACCACCACCACCACCACCACTAACAGTGTTCGTACTACTACTACTACTACTACTACTACCACCACCACTAGCAGTATCCGTACTACTACTACTACTGCTACTACTACTACTACTACTACTACTACTACTACTACTACTACTACTACCACTACTACTACTACTACTACTACTACTACTACTACTACTACTACTACTACTACTACTACTACCACTAATAATACTACTGCCACTACTACTATTAATACTTCTACTACTACTACTACTACCACCACCACCACCACCACTAGCAGTAGCAGTATTTGTATTACACCCACTACAACTACTTACTACTACAACTACTAACACCACCATCACCGCCACTAACTGTGTTCGTATTACTAATACCACTATTGCTGCTACTACTGCTACTACTACTACAACTACTACTAGTACTACTACTACTAGTACTATTACTACTACTACTACTATTACTACTACTACTACTGCTACTACTACCACCACCACCACCACCACCACCACTACGACTTTTAATTATATTACTTTTACTGCTACTGCGCCTACCACTACAACTATCCCCACAACTACCACTATTGCCCCCACATTTACTGCTGCAGCTGCATCTACTGCCATCACTGTTACCATCACCATTAAGACCAGTACATCTACCACCATCACAATCTCCTCCACTCCCCATATTGACACTAGCATCTCTTCTACTCCTTATGTTGACACTAGAATTTCCTCTACTCCCCATGGTAACTTCACAATTTCCGTTACCCCCCCCCCCCCCGTATTGGCATCACAATCTCCTCTACTCCCCATATTGACACCAGCTTCTCCTCTACTCCCCATATTGACACCAGCATCTCCTCTACTCCCCATATTGACGCCAGCATCTCCTCTACTCCCCAGGGTGTCTCGTTCCCCAGCATGCACGCCATGTTGGGCAAGTGGGCGCCCCTGTCTGACAGAAGCAAACTGGCATCGTTCACGTACGCAGGTCAGTCAGCTACCGCTTCACCTTCAGACATCTGTATTGGCATCTAATAAATAAGTTTATGTATCATCAAGAACATTGTATATTTTTTAATGGCAAATTTTTTTTTTTTAATATTGCCGTTTATATTTTTGTAATCGCAGTCTGTGAAGTTAATGCAACACATACTGCTACAGTTTGACTTATTTTTGGTACTGTTTTACACATAACAGCTCTATTCAGAGTCGATTCAACTGGTTAAATTGCTAACAGTATTAGGATAAGGCACTTGACTATCAAGAAATGACATTATCAGTTGTTGAACAACTAGGTTCGGACACCAGCCAACGCTAAGGAAACTGTGTTTTAACCAGAATCACTCTTCCTTCAATGGGTAACACTATAATAGCTAAAAATCATTTACTAAAACACAGATGTATAGCAGTGATATCCTAAACTAACGGTTACTTGGCGCTTGGAACATGACGCAATACGCAAATTTAATTACGGTGCGCAAATAATTCATTTCAAAAAGTTTAATCGTAAAACATACATTCTATATTTGTGATCTGTATAGTAAAGTATGGTTTGAGGTGGTCATCATTTCACCAACAGTTCGAAGCTCTGTTGAAGTCACATCAGTGTTGGTGGGAGAAATTGTTTAATTGTAAGTTCTCACATACATATGCAGAAAATCTCTGCCATTGTGTCCGTCCCAGACCCAGATGATGAAGGAGGAGAGATGTTATGGCGTCGCAAGGCATTCTTTCTAAATGGGCAAACCTCGTACTTGCTGTCTTTGTATGTAATTTATTACTAGTTTTGTGTCGACTTTTGCTCTTATGACTTTCTTGTAGGATTACAGTCTGTTGGATGGACACCTCAATGACGAGAATCAAAGATACCATTCTTTCAACAGTCGAACACAGATATATTCAGATACTCCACGGTTACATGGAAACCTAAGTCCGGACCGGGCCTGGAATATTGTTCATACTATGGATAAAAATCAGAGAGTTTATGTCAGGCTGTTATCATTGCATAATATATCTGAGAATACTCTAGCTTGTCTTTTATCTTTTATCTATACGAGCGTATGTGGTTGATCTATTGTTTATTATCTGTTTTACAGTCAATATTTACCCGTTCAGAAGTCTGTTACATATACGTTATTTGGCCTACATTTGGGTGGGAGACCGAAAGTTGTACGTTACAGATGACAAGTTCAATGTTGCTCTGTCACGATATTGAAAAAAATATAATCACCAGCTACCTGACCCCCCACGCCTATAGCCACCTCTCTCTCTCTCTCTCTCTCTCTCTCTCTCTCTCTCTCTCTCTCTCTCTCTCTCTCTCTCTCTCTCTCTCTCTGTATCTTTGTGTGTGAATATAGATGACATTCCATCGCTGGTTTGTCCGTAAAGTTTGATTCTCTTATTCTTATTATTGTGTGAGTGAGTGAGCTGAAACTTGGAGCACACTAAAAAGAGGTGAAGCCTTACAACAGATTTTTGAAAACAGAGTTTTACGACGAATCTTTTGACCCATCAAAGATGCAAACAGCGCGGAATGGAGAGTGAGAAGCAACAACGAAGTTCATAATCTTTTTTAATAAATCACTGATAAAAGGCATCATGATAGCTAGTAGACTGAAATGGTTAGGGCATTTTTTAGAGAATGTCAGATGACAGAGAAGTGAAAACAGTATACACGAGGCAGACCACGGGACAGACAAGAAAGACGATGGAGATATAATGTCCAGACAGACCTACAAACATAGGTGTCACCAACTGGAAAGAAAAGGCCAACTAGAGAGATCAGTGGAGGTAGTGATATCTGCAGCAGTGAACTTCAAGGGCTCGGAATGCTGAAGAAGTAGAACGAACGAACGAACAAACTTTATTTTCAAAGGGTTACAAATTGGGCACGCAGGCCCGTCTGACATTCGGCCCTTCTAAGTACTCATTTTTGGAGTACTAATATCTGTTATCAATAATGCATGTTATGGATTTAAAAAGAAATATATAATGCATATACACATCGTGTGTACGCCATCATACACTCACACACACACGTATACATACATCTACATTTTCATACAGGTGAACTCATATACAGACATACGCGATACATACACACCTGCATCTACATACATATACAAGCATACACATACACAGAAATAAATGCACAAACAAAACACACACACGTACATTTATGGATATACATGCACACACGCATTCCATATATATACATCTATACATGCACCCATGCATACACACATATACCATTACATGTACAGACACCAACATATGCCCAAAACCACACATTTACACTTACATGAATACATACACCCACACACATGCATACATATATCCACACATTTATACCTAAACTCACATCTTTACACACATACATACATACATACCTAACTATACTTTCATATATCCACATGCATACACACACAATCACACACACATGCACACTTGCATGCTTTTTGCACACTTGCATGCTTTTCAAGAAGAAGAGTGAGCCTGTGAGTTTGCATGGTTTGTGTGTGAATATGTGTGTGTGTGTGTTGTGTGTGTGTGTGTGTGTGTGTGTGTGGAGGGGGGGGGGGGGGTATGAGAAGTGAATACCTTGTTTTCTCCACAAATATTTGTAGTTTTCACGGACTGCTCTGTGTTGCAGTTTTGTTTTAGTATACATTAACAAACACAACGATTATAATAGAAATCCTGGGCTTCTTCTTCTTCTTCTTCTTCTTCTTCTTCTTCTTCTTCTTCTTCTTCTTCTTCTTCTTCTTCCTCTTCTTCTTCTTCCTCTCTTTCTTTGTCTGAATCTCCCCCCCCCCCCCGCCCCCCGATCAACCTCCTTATAGGATTGTGACTTGTATAGTGACTCACTCCAGAGTTTGTGTCACGTTTCGGTCAATTTAACATGCACATTAATCACCCAGCACGTATGGGAATGCCCTATGTGCAGTGATGTCGATTTTGATAAAATAACATGTATGATCCCTTCACAGGTTTCTTTTTTTTTTTTTTTTTTATCTCAACTTTTTATTGGCAGGTCAAAATTTAGGAAACATCGTCACTTACATCGTCTCTGGGGTTCTGTGTGCTAACGGTTTCGACAACGGCTGGGGATCCATTTTTTATATTACAGGTGAGAGATTGTTACCTGGGTGTCTAGATATTTCGCGCGTTTAATTCAACACAATGTTTCCCGAAGTGAATTTTAATAACGCGGACACAAGCAATACATTTCACATTTCGCTGTATCTCGTCAGATGCTTTACTACAGGGTTATATCAACATGTAGTAATATGCCAGGCCTCGGACATCTCCTGCTATGCTTATCGGACATTCAGACATAATGGTGGCTTTGCAACAGGTATTGAGGTTTGGTGTTTTCTATTTTGTCGCTGAGGTAGCAAATTAGGCGATTACCTTCACGATTGATTCATCGGGTAGACGTAAGACTTTGACAATTGGCAGAGGGACACGGGCAGACCTTAATCGGGCAACTTTGACTTCAGGGATTTAAAAGTTCTTTTCTACTAGGAGCTCGGAACAGTCTACCGAAGCCCATCCCCTACGATATTCCGTTGTGTCCACAGCCAGCACGAAGCCTTTTCCGCAGCTTCACTCAGTTGTTTTAGTGCCCGTTTTCGTTCCTTTCCTTACAAGCCCAGGTCTTTACTATATTGTATGTGAAGGTGGAGGTTAGCCCTCTTGTGCCTACCTCGACGGCGAGGAGTTTTACTGAGTAACCCTCGTCGCTCCTCAGACTGGCCATCAGTTCACTATATTTTTTGAGCTAGTATAGGTGGTTCTCTTCCATCCGCAGCTCGTACGACACGCTCTATATCAGGATGAGCTGTCATTATGCCGCAAAGTGCAGGACAATATCTGGTCTCAGGCTAGTCTTTCCGATTGCTTCGGGGTATTTCTCAGAGCAATGCAGGTCGACCGCCAGTTGTCAGTCCTTTGCATTGCTAGGTATGGTTGGAGCGTATGCTGTTTTGCTGAGTGTACCTTGGTGGCACGCCATTTAACATTGTTAGCGCCAGTGGGTAACACGTCGTAAGCATCTTTTATAACAAAGCTCAGTCGCAGCGGGGCCATTCGCCAGATCTCAGTCCATGTGAGATGTCGTGGCAAGGCGCTCTCGATATCATTCCATTTCCTTGCTGCGACTACTGGGCTGCTTTTGGGACCCGTAACTTGTTTTCGGAGTCCCTTATCTGTTACCATGTCACTACGCTCTTTGGCCGAGACTTTGGACCACCGAGTGACTTTTCCTTGCCCGAGGTCGCGTCGGTCAGTTTGTGTGTAGCCCATGACTTCTCGCAATGTTATTGCATTCTGAGTAGATTCTATCGCATCCTCGACATCAAACTTTCCCCCTATCTTTAGAGCAGACTGGATAGCAGCTACTATGGAGTCTGAAGACGCGGAGTATCATCACGAGTCTTGCCTTGCCGACTTTAAACTCTTCAGATACCGACTTGAAAAGAAGCCCCAGCTCCTACATGAAGCCCTACCTCTTTCGGGGCCCCATTTTTTCCGGGTTTTAGACAGCATTAATGTTGAGCGAAATTTTTTACTGCAAGACGACAAAGCTAAAACCTTCCTGAAGAACAATTATTGGCTGTATCTGGACATATAATATATCAAATTAAAGATAAATGAGTGCAGAATAAATCTAAACTATTTAAGTGTCAGTACTACAACGAAATTTTATTAACATCTCACTACATAAAAAAATGTTATACATAAATGAAGATTATTTACATAACATGTTGTGCTTACATTACTTTTTTACTTGTTCAACAACACTGCTATCCAATTATAAAAATTCACATGCTTTCTCTATTCAAATGATGTATCAGCCAGTCTTTGTCTGAAACAATTTATTTCAACACTTTGGATGTTATAATCATTTTTGTGTGACGTGTCAGATTTCACAACAACAGAAAATCATGAAAACAGCTGATCGAAACAGATGATCCAATTGAAATATTTTGTTCACTTTTCATATCCTAAATAAATTATCGCCAGTAGGTTTGTCACTTGGATATCAGTCCTAATATCAAGACTATTGTCACCACCTGGAGGAGATTCATCAACGACAAAGCAGTATGAACAGTTTTTGCCCCTTTCCCTTATCATTTGGGATAGAAAAATCACGTAAAAAATTGTATCACATTTAAATAATTTTTTTTTTTTCTATCAAAAAGTGACGCACAAGCCACGTGGTATATCATAAACGAAGGGACTTTCTTTTGCTAATCCTGGTTTTTCATAACATTTTTATAATTTTTTCCCCACAAACGAAACAAAATTGGTGTCTCTATGATTCGCCAGTATACTGGGGAATATTTCGATCTGGATACATTTAAAAGCCAGTTAACTAGCCATTAGTCCTCAAAGAGCTAGACTAGGCTAAGGCTCACAGACTAAAACCAGAAAAGTCATGCATGACAAAAGCAGAAGACACAATTCGACATTTGTGCAGATCTAGGAATGTTTGGGGAGCAGAGGAGTGGGTCAAAGTGACCAAGCAGCAATCAAAGTTATACAGGGTTCTATTCACATTCGGCCGTAAGTGCAGGGACTAGCCATTGGGAGCTGCAGGGTCAGAAGTTCAGGATCTGTTTCATGACAATTTCCACCCATGTCTTTTAAATATCTATACAAATGGCTCAGTGTTGAGCGGCAGGAGAAGGGCTTGGGACTCAAAGCAAAAGCGAACGGACTTCGCCTGGTGCTACAATGTTTGAGAACGGAGATAGAAGGACTCACCACAGCATTCCTCTGGTTTGAGAACCAGCTGTACACACAGGACATGATTGTCACTGACTCACAGAGCATAGTGGGAAATGTTGATACAGTTATGCTCCGGGCTTGCTGGTAGCCTAGCTAGTCCCCTCCAGCCCGAGACACCCTCACTCCTGTCTCAGATATCTCAGTATAAACAATATTCCACTCCCGATCCGGACTAAGGTTTCCATCTAACCGTGGAGTATCTGAATGTAACTGTGCTCTACTGTTAAAAGGGGATTACGAGGATGGTATCTGTTTGATTGTCGTCACTAAAGTGTTCATCATCCAGACTTCACTCCCACACACACACACACACACACACACACACACACACACACACACACACACACATGCTAACACACACACGCGCGCACACGCACACGCACAAACACACACACACGGCCTAGCCTATCAACTACCTGCCTGCCCGAGATTCCCTAGCCAGTCCGACCCTGCTCGACATACAGTTTGAACTTTCTACATGCATCTGTCTCTACCTTTCTCGTGTCCATCCTAAGGTGTTATCCCATCAAAAACACATTTCTCTATTTCACAATCTTTTTCCCCCCTTCCCTGCTAAACGACCTGACATCTGTACTAAACGACCTGACATCTGTACTAAACGACCTGACATCTGTACTAAACGACCTGACATCTGTACTAAACGACCTGACATCAGTACTAAACGACCTGACATCTGTACTAAACGACCTGACATCTGTACTAAACGACCTGACATCTGTACTAAACGACCTGACATCTGTACTAAACGACCTTACATCTGTACTAAACGAGATGACATCTATGTTTAACGACCTGACATCGGTACTTAACGAGTTGATATATCCGCTAAACGGCACGGCATCTGTGTTAAAACAAGATCATATCTGTGTTAAATAAGATGACATCTCCATTTCTCTGACATCTCCGGTACACTACATGACAAGCCCATTACGATAACGTCTCTGTGGACTGACCGTGTCGCCTTGTCTTCCAGGAGGTATCGTCTTTTTCTGGGTCCTAGCCTGGTTTCTTCTGGTGTCCGACTCGCCAGAGCTCCACCCCACCATCTCAGTGGCCGAACGCAACTATATCATCAAAGGGCGGGGAAATACATCTCACAGGGTAAGTGAACAGTCTCTGTGGCATCTCTCTGTCCTGCGTGTAGTGTGTTGAAGTTCACCTGTTCCTGCAGCCAGGCAGTGTGGTCTAACGGAAGCGTTGGTTAAAATCTCAGAATGTCTGTGCATTTGTGAATTGATCTTCCAGTCAATATGGCAGATAGGCAGGTTTATTATTTTAACCCTGACGAGTTTTTGTTTTTAAAAATAGTTAGCTGTTGCATTTTAATCCATAAATAGACTGAACGTGACCATAAATATAGTTCCGTCGCCCTGCTACAGATTTCAGTGCATGGTGCGACACCGTGAGCTGTAAATTTCATTTGGAATTAATTTCATCTGTATCCAACGTGATTTATGTTGTGAACTTCAGATTAAGAAATATCGAGTGGCCTGTTGCCAAAGAATTTATGGTATTTTTTGCGAATAATTACGTTTTCAACTACTCACTTGTTCTAACTGCTGCTTTCATCGACGATGAACTGTATTTCTAGTGTTTGACGGCTTGTGTTGGCACCTCTGACGGCTGCTTTGTGTATCTAATGCGTGTGTAAGCTATTTGATTCGCTGACACTGGAGTCTGTGTCAAGTTTGTTTAATCCCACAAGCGACAGTGATGGACATTGTGTGTGGCATAGGAATAGAGCAGCGGTGTGGTGACCCGTTTGCTCTGAGGTCGGACCTGCGAGTAACTAATTACCTGAATTTACAAAAAGCAGGCAGAATGACTTGAAATAATGGTTTCGTCATTCGTTATTCTGTTGTGCGTTATCGTGAAACAAGCTCCGAGTGGATTTCTCTATTCAGTTTTACCAAGTGCAAAACTAAATCTGATCTTCATCTTTCTATTTGATCGCCTCGCTTCCTTAAAAATATGTGTTTCTTATCTCACTACCTGGTTGTAATTGTATGTCCAACTTGTCTCAAGATGTGTCCTGTAACTGGTTTGGTAAAGACTAAGGATAAACATTATGGCACAAGGATAGTAACCCATAAGTGCTCCGTTCTACTTCTAACTCAAGCCTGAGTCAGAAGAATTTCAGCGCAATGCACGAACTCCATAGCACCGGCGAGGATCCTGAAATACTTTCGTTAGATTTTAAACTCCAATTTTTTGCACGGACAAGGCCGTTAGGCTACTCTTTTTTGATTTTCAACTGGCAAGGGATTTTTTTTAACGTGCGCAGCAATACACACTGGCGTTTGATCTTACTACCTAGAGACCAGGGGAAATTACTAACTGTTGATACCAACGGTTGTCGGGCTGTATTGAGGTTTACAACTAGGCTACGACAACTGCTCCTTTCAGCTCCACACACCATACTTTAGTCGCCTTTTGCGACACCTTTTTTAGGGGTAGTGGGTCAATAATGAGCTAAAGATAATGAGGTAACATGTTATCACGTGATTGGTCACCAGGACATCGTGGTGCCCTGGTTGGCTATCGCCAAGTCACGTGCCATGTGGATGTGCCTGATGGCTCACATCGGCAACAACTATCTCAACTACACGCTGGTCACCGGCCTGCCTTCCTTCATGAACGAGGTGCTCAAGTTCGACATCAAACAGGTAGATCTGGTCTCGTCTGTCTGGTTTTACCTGTCCTATCTTACATCTTATATCACCTGTCTTACTTCACATGCCTCATGTCATCTCTCATGCCTCGCCATTCGTATATCATATGCTTTCTGGAATCTTGACCTCGCCTGCCAAATCTGGAATCTTGACCTCGCCTGCCAAATCTGGAATCTTGACCTCGCCTGCCAAATCTGGAATCTTGACCTCGCCTGCCAAATCTGGAATCTGGCCTCTCCTGTCCTCATCAGTTTTATGTAACCTGTTTGGTTCGCCTGTGTTAATTTAAGTAACTTGTCAACTCATAGTGTTAAATAAAATATTGTCTACTAAAGTAATTTGTCTGCTTGTATCACTGAGTAAGGAGGTCTGCCGTGGTGTAGCGGCTAGACGCTCGATTGCGGATCTGAAGGTAGTGGGCTCGAGTCCTTAGGGAGCCGCAGTTTTATTTTCTGCCTGGCTCCCAGGTTGACCCAGCCTTGAATAGGTACTAGGTACAGTCCTAAGAGGGTAAGGGTGGCCGACGTGATGTTGATCACATCAGCCACCAAAAGCTGATTCGTCTAAACAACATAGGTCGGTTCTTAACTTATAACGTACCCCAAACAGGAAATCCCCGTGGGAAATCCACAGCTGACCTGACAGTCCATTATTTCAAGGGGTGGAAGTTTGCTGTTGTGTGTTGCTTTTTTTTTTTAGTGTTAACCTAGTGTCTTCTAATGCTAACCCTAACCCTAACCCTAACCCTAAACTTGGCTGTAGATAAATCTCGAGAAACTACAACTTTTTTTTTCGACGTCTCGGCAAGTCAACCTTTAGAAATGATCCCTAAAAGTATGATCTTACTACAACCTGAACACCCTAGAATTTATTGGGAATGTCTCCCGTGACGTTGTCTTGACGTCAGGGGTAAGTTATAAATTAAGTACCTATAGGTCTAGCTCTATATGACCAATAGGCCTTAAGAAAATGGTCCTTTACTTTTATCATTGAAAGTTATATGTCCACTTGCATCATGGACTGAAATAATGACTACTTGTATGACTGGCTACAGTAATTTGTCTACTTGCATCATACACTAAAATAATGTCTGCTTGTATCAATGACTAAAGTAATGTGTCCGATTATTCAGTGACTAAAGTAATGTGTCTGCCTGCATCATTCACTAGAATAATGTCCACTTGCAACAGTGACTAAGTAAATGCAACTTATAACATTGAATTAATTAGCTCGTCTATTGTACCACTGAGTAAAGTAACATGTTTACCTGTACCATTCGCTGAAGTAATTTGTTTACTTGTACCATTGACAACAGTAATTTGTCAACTTGTACCCTTTATTAAAGGCAGATGTCTTCTTGTATCATTGTTTAAAGTAGTGTGTCTGCTTGTGCTACTGACTAAAATATTGCATCTACTTACATCATAGTTTGAAGTAGTGTGCCGGCATAAGCCATTGACTAAAGTAATGCATCCACTTGCATCATAGTTTAAAGTAGTGTGTCTGCTTGTGACATTGACTAAAGTAATGCATCCACTTGCATCGTAGTTTAAAGTAGTGTGTCTGCTTGTGCCACTGAATAAAGTAATGCATCTACTTGCATCGTAGTTTAAAGTAGTGTGTCTGCTTGTGCCACTGAATAAAGTAATGCATCTACTTGCATCGTAGTTTAAAGTAGTGTGTCTGCTTGTGCCACTGAATAAAGTAATGCATATACTTGCATCATAGTTTAAAGCAGTGTCTGCTTGTGACATTGACTAAATTAATGCATATACTTGCATCATAGTTTGAAGTAGTGTGTCTGTTTGTGCCATTGACTAAAGTAATGCATCTACTTGCATCATAGTTTAAAGTAGTGTGTCTGCTTGTGCCACTGACTAAAGTAAGGCATCTACTTGCATCATAGTTTAAAGTAGTGTGTCTGCTTGTGCCACTGACTAAAGTAAGGCATCTACTTGCATCATAGTTTAAAGTAGTGTGCCGGCATATGCCATTGACTAAAGTAATGCATCTACTTGCATCATAGTTTAAAGTAGTGTACCGGCATATGCCATTGACTAAAGTAATGCATCTACTTGCATCATAGTTTAAAGCAGTGTCTGCTTGTGCCACTGACTAAAGTAAGGCATCTACTTGCATCATAGTTTAAAGTAGTGTGTCTGCTTGTGCCACTGACTAAAGTAAGGCATCTACTTGCATCATAGTTTAAAGTAGTGTGCCGGCATATGCCATTGACTAAAGTAATGCATCTACTTGCATCATAGTTTAAAGTAGTGTGCCGGCATATGCCATTGACTAAAGTAATGCATCTACTTGCATCATAGTTTAAAGTAGTGTGCCGGCATATGCCATTGAATAAAGTAATGCATCTACTTGCATCATAGTTTAAAGCAGTGTCTGTTTGTGCCATTGACTAAAGTAATGCATCTACTTGCATCATAGTTTAAAGCAGTGTCTGTTTGTGCCACTGACTAAAGTAATGCATCTACTTGCATCATAGTTTAAAGCAGTGTCTGTTTGTGCCATTGACTAAAGTAATGCATCTAAGTGTATCATTGTTTAAAGTTATGTGTCTGCTTGTGATATTTTACTGAAATAATGCATCTACTTGCATCATCTTTTAAAGTAGCCCAACTTCACACATTATCTATTAATGTATTGTATTTATGTGTAGGATGGTCTACTCTGAATCATCAGCTAACGTAATCTACTCTCCTGTTTGTCAGAACGGTTTGATGACCGCCATTCCTTACATGGTAATGACTGTGACCATGATTACTGCCGGATACGCAGCCGATTTTATCCGGTCACGGTACCTGAGCACAACCTACACAAGGCGGCTCTTCCAGGCAACGTGTGAGTACCCTGATTGGTGGACGACTTGTGTGTGAGCTGACCGGTAGACGTTTCATGTCCTGTTCACGTTGCCCGGTCCATCTACACACTTCCTGATCTTTCATTTATACTTTTTTAAACTCCTCTGCGTCAGAGGGATGTCACGTTGTCTTTTCTCTAATTACATCAATGCCGATGTCGTGTGTTGTGTACTGCGCGACGACACAGCTTTCAACGACCCAGACCCAAGCTCCCTACCCACAACCTTAGCCTAGGTCACACGAGGGAGTCTTTTCGAAAAAAGAAATACAACGTGACACCCCTCTTTCCTAAATCAGACTGAGAAAGTGTGCAGATGGGCCGGGAAACGTCAACAGGTCAACGGTTTCTGTTTGTTTCACTCCATCTCTGAGACTCCGAGATTTAATGGATAGTTCCAGGGAAAGTCCAATATTATTTTGGGGGAATGGGGTAGGTAAGGTTGAGGTTGGTGTTAGTCTGTGTTCATTTCACACCCTAACACTCCTATACAATTGGACTTTCCCGGAAACTCCCCACGAAAATCAGAGATTTCCCGAGATGTGGGTGAATTAAAAGAAAAGGATCTAGACATGTCGTAGACTAGAAGAAGTGAATCTTCTGCTTCTTCTTTGTCCTCTTGTCCTTGTTCTCCTCTTTCTACATCTCTCTTTCTTTGTCTTTTTCTCCTTCTCTCCCCTTCCCCTCCCCCGGCTTCCTCCTTCCCTCCTCTTTAACTTCTAAAAATCTGTGAATGTGTCTCTCACGTTACTTCAGTCACCTGGAGCAGTGAGCTTCCATGCGGGAGACCGGGTTCGGCCCTTGGTAAGGGATGGATATTTCTTCTAGTCGGGGGCACCAATAACCCTAGCCTTCACAGTTGATGTCGACTGCACTAGCCATGTGGTCCTCAAACCATTAGGCTCACCATATCCCCCCCCCCTTTTCCATTTCCTACACAGCCCTGTAAGTGGTACAATAAATCAATCAGGATACGGTCTCCACAATAACTGTTGGTTGTAATGGATCTCCAACTTTCTCTGTGTCTTGTCTTGGCTGCACACCCTCTGACTGCTGTTCGTCCATCTCTTGATGTTGTCCTACTACTTGTATCATTTCTACCTCTTGCTCTCTTACCCTCGACCTTTCACTCCAGAATGGTTTCTAAAAGAGTGTTATGTCGTTTAATGTGGTTAGAATATTTCATGTGTCTCTTTTTTATTTCTGTCCGTAGTTTTCTTTTCATTCGCCGTCTCACCAGACCCTCTGTATTTGATTGCTTTCGTTTCCATTAAGTGCGACCTGTTCTTCTGGACATCAACATTTCCAGAGACTCGTGTAGATTTTCTGGTAGCTTATGCAGAGACAGTAAAGGCAATCACTTCAATTCCTTTAGGGGTTGCAGAGTGGCTGAAAAGGTAAACAGAATGAAATGAGATGATATACATACTCTAACCCAGCCGAGCATAAGGACTTCGAAATGAAAGATTAGATAAAAAGAACCCGAAAAGTTGGTTTAGGTGCTGTGGAGTATAAAGACCTCCTTGACAGATGAGAAACATATGTCATGATTTACCCACACAGGAGTCGTGGGTACCCCATCAAGTGTGGCTGTTCTCTGTGTGGGTTCTAGGACCTAATTTCTTTAAGGGTGAGATGGAGGAGCAGACCCATTGCCCCCCCCCCACCTCATCCCAAGAAGCATGTCGTAAAAGGCGACTCATTGTGGCTTTATTGAAACGGGGTGTGTTGTGCCGAAAAGTGCAAAAAGACAAAGAAATAAGAAAATATAGCTATCATAGCTGTCCCATTTATAACTTCGTGAGAGGTTGAGCAGGGTAAATGTTGAAATGAAATCTATGATGGTTCTCCCCCCCCCCCCCCCCCCCCCACTCTCCCCTGGGAAGAAGCAAATAACACAGATAACATACCCTGCCAGCAACCTCAGATTGGAAGATTTTGTTGCATTGGATGTTGCAGCGTTTCTGGGCGCAGGGGCCTGTCTGGTGGGTGTGGGGTTTGTGGACTGCGAGAACCGGGTGATTGCCGTGGTCCTGCTGGCCGTGGCTGTGGGCTTTGAAGGGTTATGTTTCGCTGGGTACATGGTCAACCAGGTGGACTTCGCTCCCAGGTGAGTTAGTTTTGCCCGATGGGGCTAGTGCGTGCGAGAGTAAGTGTTGAGTCAGGGAAGAACGGCAAGGGATGAATGACAGCTACTTTGTATGAGACACAGTGATAGACGGACGAACTGACGGGTTAACATGCACAAAATATTTTCACGGATAGTGGGACATATTGGACAAAATAAAAGAGAGATAAATACCAAAGAAAGAAAGAAAGAAAGAAAGAAAGAAAGAAAGAAGAAAGAAAGAAAGAAAGAAAGAAAGAAAGAAAGAAAAAGAAAGAAAGAAAGAAAGAAAGAAAGAAAGAAAGAAAGAAAGAAAGAAAGAAAGAAAGAAAGAAAGAAAGAAAGAAAGAAAGAAAGAAAGAAAGAAAGAAAGAAAGAAAGAAAGAAAGAAAGATTGAAAACAAAGACAGACAAACAAAAGAAAGAAAGAAAGAAAGAAAGAAAGAAAGAAAGAAAGAAAGAAAGAAAGAAAGAAAGAAAGAAAGAAAGAAAGAAAGAAAGAAAGAAAGAAAGAAAGAAAGAAAGAAAGAAAGAAAGAAAGAAAGAAAGAAAGAAAGAAAGAAAGAAAGACGTTTACAAAATAACGAACAGAGTTAGAAGAAAACGATTGGGTTCTTTATGTTTTTATTTACACCAAACACGGAGAATTTCAGAGTTTCCCGAAAAGTTCAATATTATAGAAGTGTTACAGTTTACAAGCAACACAGACTAATCCTTATACACATATAATACTGGACTTTCTGGGCAACTCAAAATTTTCCAGTGTTTAAGTTAAAAAAAAAAAAATAAAGAACTAGTAAGAACTGACGGTGTTGGCGAGATAAGTAAAATTAGGGGAGATGGAATGAAAAAAAAAAGGGGGGGGGGGTGAAGTAAGGAAGGGGAGAGGGTGGAATCTAGAGGTGACATCAGAAATAAAAATCAAGAAAGGAGTGACAGAGAAACAAGAAAGAGAGAGAGAGAGTAGGAGAGAGAGAGAGAGAGAGAGAGAGAGAGAGAGAGAGAGAGAGAGAGAGAGAGAGAGAGAGAGAGAGAGAGAGAGAGAGAGAGAGAGAGAGCAGGAACGTCAAAATGTTGACATCAGAAAAACTGAGACCTTGCACTGACATCCACACTCAGGTTCGCAGGTGTGCTGATGGGAATCACCAACATGATCGCCACAGTTCCCGGGATCCTGGCCCCGACCATCATCGGCGCCCTGACTCCAAACGTGAGTCTCTGGAACATTCTTTTCCCTGCTTTGTCGTCCACCTTATGTGTAACAAAGAAAGTGTGTCTGATTAGTTGTCCTTAATGTTTTCTTTGAAGAGCGGTTTCAAATAGGGATTTTTTTTTTTTTTTTCGGAGGCAAAATAAAATTCTTACCTACATAATCCGTGGCAACAACACTAGCCATGCGGCCCTAAATTCTCAGGCTCAAAGACTCGCACCTCCCGCTTACACCGCAAAAATGGTATGATAAAGGCAGAAAATGGCAATGTGTCCCAGCCAATATGTCATGTCTTTATTGTGTATTTTTGTGTTTATAACTAAGCTAGACATCTTCTACTTCTTCTCACTCCCTTAGTCCTTTCTCTTTTCTTCTTCTTCGACATCTTCTTGTTCTTGTTCTTGTTCTTCTTGTTCTTGTTCTTCTTGTTCTTGTTCTTCTTGTTCTTCTTTTCTTCTTCTTCTTCTTCTTCTTCTTCTTCTTCTTCTTCTTCTTCTTCTTCTTCTTCTTCTTCTTCTTCCTCTTCTTCTTCTTCTTCTTCTTCTTCTTCGTCTTCGTCGTCGTCTTCTTCTTTTTCTTCTTCTTCTTCTGTTTGTTTGTATACGTTTACCGGTTGTAAACCCTGATGAAAGACGTGGTTGTTCGTCCTAACCTTAGCTTTGACTTTATTCCAGGACCTGAGTTTTACAGATCTTGCTTTTTTGTAGGCAAACTGTTGGTTTCTTGCCTTTCTTGCCTTTCTTGTTCTTGTTCTTCTTGTTCTTGTTCTTGTTCTTCTTCTTGTTCTTCTTCTTCTTCTTCTTCTTCTTCTTCTTCTTCTTCTTCCATCTTCCTCCTTTTCAGCATCATTCCAGCGCCTTGATATGTATTTCCCCCGCCTTTATTCATCGCTATGCTCCGTTTTCTCTTTACAGTGGATTCCTTGTGTTAAAAAAAAATGGCTGTATTATCTCTCCACGGTCTTCTTGGTCGGCCTCTTGGTCTACCCCCATTCAACTCTGTGTATACGTTTCACAGTGTTCTGCCATTATCTCTACATGCCCCGAGCATTGCAGTAACCTGGCTTCTCTATCAGCGGCCGCATATGACTGCACGTTACACCGACAGTCGTAGCAAGACAAATGTTGGACATTCTTGCAGCTACCATTTTACCACTTCCATGCTTGCCTTTATCAATATCTCATATTGGAATTGGAACTCGTTGCTCGCTGAAGATGGGGACAGAGCGCTTATGGGATTGTCACGAGTGCTTTGTCGGTCCTTAACTCAGGGCAACAAAATATCCCGTATCTGTAGTGTCATAAGCAAGTGATATTTAACCCTTTTGTGTCTTGTGCGGAATCTGAAGAATCCGCGAAGGTGGACACAAGACATTGAAGATGCATTGGCAATGAAAGCACATAGGGCTGGAGAGCTGGGTCCAGCAAGAGAGACTTTCAGAAGAGAGCGACGTTCTGTAAAAGACCTGCTGATGCATATGCATGTGTCCGATGTGGATTCTAACAATTCCGCATCGAAGAGTAGATTTTTTTTTTTTTTCAATATCCAGAAACCATAAGTTGTTAGCCCATTGGCTCAATACCATGAATATTGCAACCCTACGGCCTTGATTTCATGAAAAATACCGTAAATCTGGCGAGAAATGTGGCTTTTCTTCCTACCCCTGGGCGTGAACCCGGCTCACAAGGGGTTCATTAACTGGTCGCCGCACAGTCGGGTTTAACCAACCGAGATAGCGAGCCGGGCTAAGAGAAGCTAAAAGCAACATCTTTCTGGCGACTGAGTGCTAGGGTTCATTGTAAAAGTTGAGAAAATCAGCGAAAGTCATTGACTTTGATTTGAGTTTAGTCATGACAACCCAGGGAACACACCCAAAGTACGGCAGCGCCAGTCTATGACTGGAGATAACCCAGAGCACACAGGCGGGTCATCTGCCATTGTTACACAGCACCTGACTTCAACAACCGCTACATATGTCGTGTCTCTGCTCTGGGTATCCGGTCTTATGGTGATCACGTGGGTGTGTGTGTGTGTGAGAGAGAGAGAGAGAGAGAGAGAGAGAGAGAGAGAGAGGGGGGGGGAATTGTGCCTTGAAATGTCACTCATTCACAGATTACACAAAGACTGTGTCTTGCTTTTACATTATATCACTGGTTTCTTCTTCTTCTTCTTCTTCTTTTTCGTCTTCACAGGCTCCATTCTGGAGAACAAGGAATAGATCGTCTGCGTCCTCCCCCCTCTCCCCTCCTTTTTCCAACAAGCATTTTGTAGGAGACGACTAATTAAGGATGATTCCTTCAAAGTGAGAGGTAATGAGCCCACAGTCTGCATACAAATAAGCCAAATCTGTAAAACGGATGTGCATGTAGAGCTCAATTTTTCGATCAAGACCACAATTCACACCTGGATAAACAACAGAAACTGCCCACCTGAGTTTACAACCGGTGAGTTTTCACAAGAAGAATAAGAACTTCCATATCAACGTATTTGACATCAGTATCAAGAGACGTACATTCAACCATTGACGAATCAACTGTATATGTACTCGTTCATCCATTCAATTTGTTTCCCATTGGGCCAACTACTGACATCACTAACATATGTACTGCTATATTAATTCAAGTGTTATTTATTTATTTTTTTATTTTTTATCAATAATTGACTTAGAGTAATGTGTGTACTGCTACAATCAATTAGATTTTCCTTCATTTATTTACTGACGTCGCGGTAATATGTGTTATGTTTACGAATATATTCATTCATTATTTCAAACGGTCTGTTATTTATGTATACGTTCCTCAGAAAACACAAGACGAGTGGCGAAATGTCTTCTACATCTGTGCAGGAATGTGTTTGTTTGGGGCCATCTTTTTTGGGCTCTTCGCTAAGGGAGAACTGGAACCATGGGCCGCCATGCCCGAGGAAATTACGGTGACCGCAGACGATCAGAAGAAGCCACGGTCTGAACACAGCCTTGGTCAGGCTAACGAAGCGTTTTCAACTAGCGACGAGATATTGTCTCAGAATGACAAACGCACAACAGACCCCATGTGGAGCAGGTTATAAAAAACCGATGCCACCATAAAAATGAACTTCATTAAAAAAAAAAAAAAACATTCAGAATTGTGGACAAATGGATCTCAACCTAACCACGCCAGCCAGTTGATCTTGTCGGGATTGAAGAGACGTGGTCAGTGCAAGGGAGATGTTCAGATTCATTTCACTGGGGACATTTTACCCGATTGGCCAGTCGAGAGAAATCAGGCAGTGTCAGATACTGATTAAAACTGATTTATTATAATTGATCGACTTCGTGTTGTTGACAGTAAGATGACAGTAGTATAAACATGCATTATGGCGACATAGGCAGTGGTAGCAACAGTTGTTACAGCAGTTGCAGCTGCAGAAGTAGTAGTATTAGTAGTAGCAGCAGCAGGAGTAGTAGAAGTAGTAGTAGTAGTAGTAGTGGTGGTGGCGGTGGCAGTGGTAACAACAGTAGAAGTAGTATAATGGTAGTAATAGTAGCACCAGCAGTTGTAGCAGTAGTGGTGTTGGTGGTAGTGGCGGTCGAAGTAGCAGCATCGATAGTAATAGTAGGAGTGTTGATAGTAGCGGTAGTAGTAGCAGCAGTATAGTAGTGGTGATGGTGGCGGTTGTGGTAGTAGTGGTTGTAGTAGTAGTTTTGCGTTACGGAATTTAGAGCACAAGTGTTATCGCGATTTTCTATGGGCTTCGAAGAAATGTTTTGCTTTTGTTATCTTCTTCATTATTTTTATATATCATAACCAGTCTTATCTGAATCATAAGTAATATGTTTATTATAACTATCATTGTTTTTATCCCATCGTGTGTATAATGCCATTAACCAGTGGGCGATCGTGTCTCTCTAACACTGGCTGTGAATGTACCGCGACTGTTTAAGGCAGAGCTTTCAAAACTGTGTTATGTGTTTGCTACATAGTGAGGATTTGACACAACATATCAGTTTTATGAAGGTGTGTCGCGACACAATATGTGTCTGCTTTATTATGAAGATTTATCACGACACATCAGCGTGTCTGCTGCAGTGTAAAGGTGTGTTGCGACACAGCTGTGGGTCGGCTGCAGTATTAAGGTATGTCGCAGGAATTTAATTTATGTCTCTTATGTGTGTCATGTATGGAGTTAGTATAACCAAATGTTTGCTAGTAGGCTGAATTATTGTATCGCAAAATTATGTTTGTCCTAGACGTGTTCACAAAAATAAAGGATTTAGACAGCTTTACTCTGTTAGGAGGAACAATTGTTGGGAAAAAGGGGGTGGGGGATAAAATTGAGATTTACCGTTGACCACCGGTTGAGGAAGGAGCCGCCGTAGTGATGTGTCTAGAATCTCGCCTGCCGATCCGACAATCGTGGGTTCAGGTACAAACGAAGCCGGACTTTTTGGCAGAAATGACCTTGGCTCCTCGGTCGACCCAGCTTTAAATGGGTATCATGTGTCCTGGGGAGTAAAGTCGGCCGGTGTGATGTTGACCACATCACCCACCAAGCGCTGGGTAGTCTTTAAAATATAGGTCTAGCCCTATATGCCCGATACGCCTGAAAGCGTGGAAAAGGGTCCTTCACTTTACTTACAGGTTGAAGATCTACTGTTATATTGATAACATTGTGACAACATGGGAGGTAACCTCCCGAAATTAGATGTTGACATGTTTTTAGTTATATACCCTGAGCTCACAATCATCTTTTTCTCAAGACAGAAGACACCAATGAGGAACGGGTGGTCAAACCGTTTTCCTCGCGTTTCGAAGGTCTTAGGTTCGTTTCACCAGTGCATTTTGTACGAAAAAACCCGGCGGATCATCGCTTGAGGTAATGTGCTCATGCTCTCTGTTACACTCTTGCAGGCAGCTAATCGGTCTGTCGAGACTAAATCATATGGGATTGTCATATTCATCGAGTGCGACAAAATCAATGCCCTCGAATTTAACTTTAAATCGCTGGGCACTCATGCAGGAATCCTGTGTAAGGTGATGTAGATTCTTTCTGTCAAGGGCAGAACAGACATCCTAACCTGTACAATTTGTGGTCCTCAGGACTAAGACCCCCGCCCCCCCCCCCCTATTTTTTCCCCTTACAACACCCTGAAAGTGGCACACACTGGCGGTAACGACAAAAGACGTCAATTTACACTTGACTGCAGTAAAGAGGAAGACCGTTAAACTTATAATTTTATAGTCAGTAGGGTTATATGCATTCTTAGCCCGGCTCTCTAGCGGAATTGGCTAAACCGGATTTCGCGGAGACCGGGTGACGTACTCCTTGTGGTCCGGGTTCAATCCCAGGGGGTAGGCAGAAAAGCCACATTTTCTCCCAGATTTACGGTATTTACAATGGAATCAAGGCCGAAAGGTTGCGATATCCATAATACCGAGCCTAAGGGTTAACAACTCATGGCTTCTGGATACTAAAACAAACATATGCATTCTTATGATGGTCAGTACGTGAACAGATTAGAATAACGATGTTTGTTGATTGTTTGTGAACACAAGGCGAAACATTTCATGGGGATTAAAAAAACAAAATTGATGAGGGAAGGGGGTGGAACAAATGAGTGGATATTTCAACCAAAAAAAAAGGGGAAAAAAAGGGGGGGGGGGGTTAACAAAGATAAATTATTTTAACTAATAAATGGCAAAAGTCGATATTTTAAAGGCAGATGTTATTGGAACATAGTGTAAAACTAGATGACAATATTGAAAGAAAAGTGGAGAAAGAAGACAAAGACAGCAAGAAATGCTTGACTGCTCGGTCATATGGAGGCAAGAAAATCTTCTGACTACAGCCGAAGTTCGTCTGCTTTTGTCCATGTTTGACTTATTAACACAGGTTACATATAGGACTTTCATCATCATCATCATCACCAGGTGCCTTGCCGACTGGCGTGGGCGATCATGCCTCTCCACAATCTGCGATCTCCTGCAGCATGTATCAGTTCGTGTGCCGACACACCTCCATGCCATGTCACAAGACTGTCAAGCATCTTCTCTACTTGTCTTTCTCTATCCCTCCTTCCACAGGTCTTTTCAGTGGTCACAACATGTTCTTTTTTCCCTCTTCTCATAACATGGCCGAAAAATGATGACTGTCTCCTTCTGATGTCTGTGATAAGTTGTCTTCGGGCTCCCGTCTCTTTCAAAACTTCTTGGTTGCTCTTTTTGGCTGTCCAAGGTATTCTAAGCATTCTTCTGTAAAACCACATCTCTGAGGCCTCAAGAAATTGTTTGGCCTGCCTACCGATTGTCCAGGATTCATAGTCATATGTTAAAACTGGATGTATGTAGCAAGCAAGAATTATTTTTCTAACTCTCAATGATATATTGCACAAGATGTTTTTCATTTCATAAAATGCAGTTTTTGCCTCTCCTATTCTGTTTCTTATCTCAGTTTTGCATCTTCCATCTGATGTTATCCATGTGCCCAGATACTTTACAACTCTTATTCTCACTGCAGTCAACATCTTGTTATTGGCCTCTATAGTTTCCGTCATGCAGAATGCTACGTATGCTATGACAATTCTGGTTTTCAAAGAATCGGCTGGCCGGATGGTTAAGAACATTAGGCTGTCATGCAGAAGACCCCAGGTTCAAATCCAATTTAAGACAGTAAATTTTTTTTCTGTTAGTGGAAACAAAAATCCCAATCTGTACAGTCCTTGGCGGCAGCACTAGCCATGTGACCTTAAATCTAAAATTCTGGTTCTAATCTCTACAAAACATTTTATTTCCGAAGTTTCGATTGTTCCAATCTAGTCGCTTGTTTAAGAATACCGCTAAATACTCGTCAGCATCCAGTAAGGAGAAAGGGAGGGGGAGAGGAGAATGTATCCACTGCCTCCAAACAGTCATGTCGTAAATACCGACGGTACATATCACAAAACTCACCCCATCGCGTCGGGCGCAAGATTTCGTGTCGGATCCCATACGTGCCGTGGCGGTTCCCACGGACTGTCCTATGTTGTAGGGTCGTCAGTATATACGTTTCTTCGCCTGCGCTGTCTATACACACCGTGCGCGGAAAAGCGGTTTGCAGAAAAGAAACGCTGCTCTGCTTCTCGCTCACCAATGCTAACAGTTGAAGAAAATTCATGGAGAAGGTCAAGTCACCAAGTGACGCCGCATTGATAGCGACTAAGAGCGAACGCACAACGCTTGTAACACACATAGTGCCGGCCGCTGACAAGATCGAAAAACGAAACTGCTGGCCACTCACAACACGGAAAACTGCTTATTGCTTTGAAAATAACAAACCATAACACTTCTAGAGCACAGGACAGCCTGTGTGATATCTCGCGCCAGGCGATATGGGGTGAGTTTCGTTATATGTACCATACCGACTAACTAGGAGTTTGCTAAAATTTGAAATTATGAGTCGAAAGGCGCGGCGCAGTCATCGCAGCCTGTTTATAAACCACAATGTACCAGCCGTCCTTTCAGTAAAGAACGCAGAAGCAGATGAAGAAGACTCGGGCGCTACATTGTAATATTCATGTTGTTTTTTAAGGAAGTTGTTTTTTATTTCCTTTCAATTAAACCGTAATCCTAGTTTTTAACTGCACACATTAACTGTAATCACTAAGCTTTGCAGATCCGGTACAATGTCTATCGCTAATATTGTAATCCTGTATCATTTGCATATTTTATACAGTTGACGTCATGTCCTCCCAGGTCAAGTCCTCTATATATCTCTTCTTTTGCCTTTCTCTGTTTCTCAACCTCTCTCTCTCTCTCTCTCTCTCTCTGACTCTCTGACTCGGAGCCTCTCTCTCTCTGTTTCTGCCTCTTTCTTTGTCTTTCTGATTTTCTAACTCTCCGTCTCTCTACCTCTCTTTGTCTCTCTCTATCGGTTTCTATCTTTCTCTGCCTCTTTCTATCTCTCTGTCTCTCTCTTCGCCTCTCGTTTTCATGTGTCTCTCTCTATCTCTGCCTACGCCTGTCTGCATCCCCCTCTCTCTCTACCTCTCTTTGTCTCTCTGCCACTCTTTGCATATCTCTGCCTCTATCTTTACCTCTCTCTGTGTCTCT